CTGGGGAAAACGCTGTCTTTGGGAGGAAATGCCAAAAAACAAAATAACACCCAAAACTGGCGTTGCTCAATCATCGCCGGGAGCCGCGGCGTGGCTAAGCGGCTGCTGCGTGGGGCTGAGCACTGGCACCCCCGGTTTGCTCCTCTTGCAAGATTTATTGCTGGTTTTAAGAGTGGCTGCCTCCCCAGCATCTTGAAAGATGCTGAGAGTGAGCCCCTTTGGGAGGAAATGCCAAAAAACAAAATAACACCCAAAACTGGCGTTGCTCAATCATCGCCGGGAGCCGCGGCGTGGCTAAGCGGCTGCTGCGTGGGGCTGAGCACTGGCACCCCCGGTTTGCTCCTCTTGCAAGATTTATTGCTGGTTTTAAGAGTGGCTGCCTCCCCAGCATCTTGAAAGATGCTGAGAGTGAGCCCCAAATTTGCTTTGCTGTTGAAGCTGGCCTTTGGTGGGCTTAAAAAATCATTCATCAACCCCAACAACCCTGACAGTGTTGCGAAAGCTGAGGGTGAATCACAGCGGGAGGGTGAGGAGCATCACCCTCGGCTCATGGGGCAGGGCTGGCGTCGGGGTGCTGGTGGGGAGGTTGGTGTGGGGTAGGAGGTGGCCACGATGGGCTGACAGTCTCCTCTGCCCCCCACAGCCGGGGCCAGCCCCCTCCACGAGTGCAGCGAGCGGCCGGAGGACTGGTGCCGTGATGCGGTGACGGCAGCCAAGTGTGGGGCACTGCAGCTCTGCCAGCTCACTGTCTGGGACCAGGCCCTGGGGGTAACTGTGCTGGGAGAGGGGGACGGAGGGATGCACCAATCCTGCCCCAAAATGTGGAGCTGGGGCAAGAGTCCCAACCTGACCACCCCAATGCTAGGCACCTGGCAGAGCATCCGCTGATGCTCTTGGGCAGCAATGTGTCTGCAGGGTGAGGGACAAAAATGGGTGGGTACCCTGTGATAGTCACAAGTCCCCCTTGGAGGGGTGGTTTTGGGACAACGGTTTGGGATTTGGGAAGCAAGTGGCTGGGGTTGGGCGCGTGTGGCG